TAAATAAAGTTAACAGATTGCATATAAAAATCCAGATTTCCACTTTCTCTTGAAAAGCTACAAAATCCGGTGTCAAAGAACCCTAGTGCTGAGGGGTAGCTGCTATCAAATGTGGTGGGCAGTACCAATATCAGTCTGGTAGTCCTTAAGGGTGTTGCAGTCGTACATCTCCAGTCCCTTTGGGGTCCGAAGACAGTAAACACTCACAGGGAAGCCGCATCTCAGAGTTACCAGTGTTCTCAGATCAGACACTTTTTTACCAAGAAGGGAAGTGCCCTCCATTATCAGCATTGTCTCTTGGGTCACACCATTGAACACATAGAGAATAGACTTGTCTTCTTCCTAAAGGGAAAGAAAAGGAGGGAACTTATTGCCTGGAGGGACAAGCATTTCAGAGGGTGGCACTGAGCACCTCTAGCTCCCACGACATGGCTGTGAAGGGTGAAAGCAATGGCCAGTTGAGTTCTCTGACTTCTGGCCTGAGAAGTGCAAGCTCTTCTGTCCTGAGTATGTTAATGAGTTTCCCTACTTTGAATTAAGTGAAGGAGACTTGGCAGGACTTTGAGACCATTCTTACTTCTTATCTACAGACCCAGACTAAGAGGTGTTAGTTTAGAAAACACTCCTCCCTTCCGCTGTGGATTCTTAACCTTCAGTGAAATTTTTTTTTTCTTTTTTGAGACTGGGTCTTGCTCTGTTGCCTGGGCTAGAGTGCATTGGCATCATTCTAGCTCACTACAACCTCAGACTCCTGGGCTCAAGCGATCCTCCTGCCGAAGCCTTCCAACTAGCTGGAAGTATATGTGCGTACCACCATGCCTGGCTAATTTTTCTATTTTTTGTGGAGACAGGGGTTTCGCTTTTCCTCAGGCTGTTCTTGAACTACTGGCCTTGAACTCCAGGGCTCAGGAGTTCTCACTTCAGGCTCCCAAATAGCTGGGCACTCACCACCACACCTGGCTTTCAGGTTACTCTTAACTGTTAACCAGCTACTATATGATGTTAGAGAAACAGGTTAAAAAGAAGCTTCTCAGAATATGAGTAAACATATGTTTATAAAGATAAGTATCTATAATGTAGATATACATATAGCTCACTCTGGAACAAGTAGTAACAAGGAAGAATTGCAAAATATCTAGAATTCTTTAGATGAAGAAATGCAAGGAAGAAAATACTATCAATTATTAATGAAGCCAGGTTCTTAAATATCAAGAAAATTAACACCTATAGAAACTGTTCATTTTTTTTTCTTTTAGCACTCAGGAGCTTTTTATCATATAAATAAATAAAAAACGTTGAATGACATCCAGGCCCTTTGATCCATAATATATCTGGAACATAGTTCTCATTGCA